TATGTATGTATGACCTAAGTCTATGGACCCAGAAGATGAACTTGATGAATTTTCTTTTTTTTTTTTTGGGTGAAGTTGCTTAGGGGTTGACTATCCTTCTTTACACAAAAAAAAAAAAAAAAACCTTGATGATATTTGTTATACTGGTTTTTCATTCACATAGATTAGGCCAGCTTTCAATTTTCCTTTTTTTTCATGTGTGTTTGTGTGTCTGTATGGAAGGCGTTCAAACCATGTTGGTTGCGGAAAAGGGTTCTTGGGATGAGTTTCTCCCCTTGAAGGTGGAGGCCAAGTGCATTTGAAGTTGCAATTTGTCCTCAGTGAAGAAGAGCGCAACCGCATTGTCTCATGGTATCATTTACTTTTTCACTATTCTGAAGGTTAATAGAGATATGTCCATATGGATTATTAATTTGAGATTTAATGACATAATGATACAATCAGAACCACTCTTGTAATTACATTTTAAATTCTATTTAGTTCAGATCATACAGTGGTTCTCTATAATAAGCTTAGACTGGAGAAATGTGTTTTTAAAGCTATAATATGCAGGGCAGCTTTTATATTACATTTCCTTCTTCCAAATTCTTGGTCATGTTATGTTTATGAATGTTTCCTTGTGTTTCACAGAGAGAATCTGCTATGAGGAAGAAGAAAGGTGAACTACTAAGTAGCAGTTCAAAATGGTCAGAAAATGTTAGTAGTGCTGGTGGTATTGTCATGTCATCATTGCCCATTAACTATGAGGTCTCAGGTTTGATCATGCTTGCTTGTATTATAAAATAATAGATAAACTGAGAGACTAAGAAATAAAACAATCTTTTACTTGTCTAAAAGCTATTATCATATTGCACATTAACTGAAATGGCCTTTTCTTGATATTCTAATGTCCCTCTCAAGATTCACGAAACAGAGTGATTCCCAAAGCAATGAGTGTTGGAGACCTATTGACTCATGCTGAAACATTGTCAAGTCCAGAATGTACTGCTCAGAACAAAGAAAAAAATGTTCAGCAGACGCAACTCAAGCCAGTTAAGGATTAATCACATTGCTTTTAGATTTTATACCTGTGTTTGATAACATTTATATTTGTTTTCTTCATGTTTACAAAAGATAGAGTGAGAGTGGGAAAATGAGAGCAAGTCCTTCCCTAGGAAGAATTTTGTGGAAGCACTTTATGAAGACTTTGAGATGAAAATTGATGTATGTTGGAAGAAGTGTCTGCAAGTAAAGAAGTGCTTCCAAATTTACTTGGATATTTGGTGGAAGTAGTTCAACAGTGCTAAGATATTTCTAATTGACATTATTACCCGTTGATATATTAATTTGGTTAAATTCTCTTTTCTTTTCATATAACTATAATAATCTAATCATATTGAGAAAATATTTTGAAATAAAAACTTATATCTTTAAGTAAATTGAACAGTTTTTTTTTTTATTTCATGAAAATCGGCAGAAGGAAAGATATAAACAATCATCATTGCATCTCATCAGTTCTATAAATATCATTACATATAATTTTTTGTATAAATATTTTTAAATAAAAACTGATGCGTGAAAAAACATGGTGTAGTAATCAATGTAAAGATAGTTTATTTTCTGAATAAAATAATCCACTCATAGATAAAATAATCGAAGTTCAAAAATGAAATAACAATTAAAAAAAAATATGTTAACAGTAAATGCCATTAAGATAGAGGGTATATTGAACATACCATGTAAAATATAAGGATGTAACAAGAAGTTCATAAATTTTGCCAGAAGTGGATTCAAAGCCACCCTGGCTAGCTTATCTAGAATAGACTTCTGGGAACAGCACTTTGGTAGAAGTGCTTCCATTTTTTTTTCACCAAACATCAACAAACTAATGTCTAGAAGTGTCACCAAACACCCCATTTATATTTATAAAAATTTTGTAAATATTGGCAAAAAGTGCCTAGATCTCCTACTCAGCCTTCTACCCACTTTACATATTTTCATAACTAAGCAAAACAAACATAAAAATTGTCAAACAAAACCTTATTGACAGTATATGTTCCCTCTATAGAAGAAAAAAAGAATGATTTCAGAATACATGGTAAGCTTTCTAACAGTTAACCCACATGTTTTAGGATGATACAGATGGCCTTGAAGAGACTTCATCTTCAGCTTCCATTTTAAGAAGAAATAATAAATATTTAGGTGATGTGCATCACAGTTATTCAGTTGAGAAAATTGAGACCAATATACACCATTTTGATGTTCGCAAAAGACCCGTTCTTTTGCAAGAAGCTTCATCATCTATGAATAAGACTGTTACTATTTCCAAACTGAAGAATCATCAAGAGGATCAATTGCAGCAGAATCCACTGGAGAAAACCCAAGCAATGTAAGGAAAATGATAAGTGCCTTTGAAGGTAGCCTAGCTAAGGTATAGCCACTGTGGAGTTTCAAAAAGCAGTCTTCCTGTACTATTTGCAGATTATTTACATTCATGTTAGATTCAAAAATATTGGTTGGAAGCAGGATACAAGACCTGATACTGAACCACCAGTAGCAGATATACAAGCTGCCAAAGAAGAGAGGGAAGCTTCAAAGGATCTAAAATCAAAAATAATGGCTAAAGCTGTTAAGCTGACTTCTGGAAGGCTTAAGAATCCTTTTCTAACTGAGGAATTGCAACAAGTCCATACACATGCAAGGAAAAGTGAAGAGCATATTGTCTTTGATGAAACTTTACCTAAAAGCAAATCATCTGGGAATGCTGCAAAGCATGAAATGAGAAAGCCAAATCAAGATTTGGTGAGATTATCTGCAGCAGAAGCAGCCACAGTTTTGGGAAGCTCACATAAGGAGCATTTGTCCATTAATGAACAAGATACTGCAGTTACAAATAGGCATGGAAGTAGAGTTCACACTCAATCAAGAAATTCACATGAAATAAGTATGCAGAGAACATTGGAAGTACAACTGAAAGTAGCAGCTTTTTGTGAAAATGAACTTTCTTCTGAAAGCTCAGGTGCCTGGATATTCCCAGATCACACGAGGCGGTTGTGTATGACAACTGGAAGCAAGCAAATAATGGAGTTAGTTGGAGTTCCTGGAATTCAAGAAAGGACACACAAGGGAAAGAAGAGTTTTTCATTATCAGAAAAAGTGGAAAAGGTATCTCAATGTTACTTCTTAGTTATTTGGTTTCAATAGAGCTTGTTCGTTATACTAGACTTCCCCCCAAATGAGATTTAGTTGTATCATAGTTATTGTACTACCACTAATTGTTGATGACATTGCTGCTTTTGTTGTTTGTTACCATGTTTACCATCCCTGAATCCTGATGATGATTGGGATTTTAAATCCTATTTCATTTTACTGATATATGTTATTTTTTCTTAGTAATTAAGTGATCTTTTTAAACATATATTATATGGTGACTCCTTCCCCACTGATAAATAGGGGAAAACTTACCTCTTGTACAATATTTCTTTAGTATTATTATTTCCCACACTTTTCTTTGGCCATTCGAAGTATAAGATCCAAAAATAGGACGAGACACTTAATAATCCATGTGGGTATCAATGGAATATGTTGTAAATTTGATTTTTTATGATTGTGAAATATAATTGTCATTCATATCTTACTAGATGCATAAGCACAAGGTGGGATGAACTTTTCTTGTTACAGGTGATGATTAATTATCATTGTCTTAAATTATTTCTGCCTATTATGCAGTTTGGAAATTACAACCAGCTGACAAAAGATGACAAGAATCCTCACGAGCTGAGAAATCGGAGCCTGGGAGTACGGCAGGAGTTGAAAATTCTACTGGACCAATTGGACAGGTTACATCATATACTCTTATGTTCACATTCCTTTTTAGCTTCATATCTGTGTTTTTTTATGATTATTAAAGTTAGACAAGTTTTACGAGACCTTATAAATTCACTTATCTGCACTAATTCCTTGTTTTTAATGTCTTTTTCCCAAGCTGTGGAGAAAGTAGTACTGCAAGTTTTAGTGAACAGAGAGGGAGAAGAAGAAGACGAAAACTAAACTCTTGGTGTCTTTTCTTCTCAGGCAATAAAAGTTGCAATCATGGTAGCATTTGGAACACTTGTTCTTCTTACCCGACAAAGAAAACCCTGGTTTGTAATCATAAATTAGAACTATTCCCTAGTGAGTACAGAATTATATGCACATCATTCCAACCCATCCTGCTATTAATGCAGAAGAGAGCACTGATATTGAGATCAAATGCAACCTTGCCTCATCATGTTGATGCTGATATGAGTGGTGGTCTGCAGCCTGTCATCCCAAGGGCTGAATGGTCCCAGGGTCATTTCAGTTTTTTGGCTTTTGCATTCAACTTATTGGGTTTTTGTTTAGGCCTTTTCAACTTTCGGGGCTTAAAATCAAGCACGGAAATCCTGAAAATTAGGATAATAGACAACTCCTTAAATCTCCAGTTCATCCCGTTTCCTCTGGCAGGAGGAGCAATTTGTATATTGCCAGATTCATTTTTAGTAAATGCGATTAAACATGAGCAAAAAGAGCTTGTTAATTTTTTTTTTTTTTTATATTTTTTACGATCTCTGTTGGTAAATTTTTCTGGCTGTATAGTTATTACAATTGTTAAAATTTTTTGAGTATTAAGCTCTTTTTTGTTATAAAATAATAAGAATTGATTTTTTATATGATACTTAATTTCTTAATAGTTGATTTTCATCATTAAATCCCAACACTTTCCCTTCTCAATAATAATAAAGATTGCTTCAACGAATTCAAAAATACAAAAAGAAAAGGAATTCTATGTCATGAAACTTACCACTGTGAGTCAAATTTACCTTTAGCCACCTGTTCAATTAGGTTGCACCGGGTAAACACTCACAGTTTCTTCGTTAAGAATTTTTTTAAAAAATTTAAATTTAAAATAAAAGTAAGATATTGATTAATAAAAGTCCAAGTTTGTTTAAAATATCTAATATAAAAAATTAATGTGACAGTGCAATAAATTTAAATTATTTATGGAAAGTAACCAAGTTAATTCGTCAACATGAAAGAGAAAAATGAATTACAAGTTTGATATATTAATACAGTAATTTCAACAACTTAATAAAAACCAAGTAAACTTGACAAGTTAAAAAGAAGAAATGGGCCATAAAAAAAGTTAAAAAGATAAAAAGAAAAAAGTGAAATAGAAATAAATATCATCCTCTCGCCACAGTTGGACCGGGTCGAGCTCACCCGATTGCAGTCGGACTCACCGGGTCGAGTTAAGAAACCCCAAAACCCTCATACGCATCGAATTGGACCCGACCCACTCCAATTAGAGTGATACTGTATAAAACCCCAACGCAAAAGCCCTCGTCCCGTGCGGTTCTCGCGTGTTCATCGTTTTCTCTACTGTTCCGGACGCAAAACCCGCAAAAATGGTTCGAAGCCTCAAAAATCCCAAGAAGGCAAGCGAAAGAACAAGGTTTGAATTAGTTCTCCTGCTTCCCTCCTTCGTTTCCTGATTTTCAGCTTGTTTGTGGTTAAAGTTCGTTTATCGGAGCTTCACAGGGCTCAAAGAAAGGAGAGGGCTCTTCATCTTCGAACTCGATTCCGTCGTTGCCGACGAAGGTGTGGCAACCAGGCGTCGACAAGCTCGAAGAAGGAGAGGAACTTCAGTGCGACCCTTCTGCCTACAATTCGCTCCACGCCTTTCACATTGGCTGGCCCTGTTTAAGGTATGTGAATTTATTGATACACACAATATTACATACTTGTTAATGAATGATCAATTTTTATATTGTGATGAAGCGTTTGAAAGTTTTAGTTTGCTGATTGAATTGAATGGGAAATTGTGACAGCTTTGATGTGGTGCGTGATTCTCTGGGTCTGGTTCGGACTGAGTTCCCACATACGGTATATTGTGTTGCAGGCACTCAGGTGAGGTTTATTTCCAATTTACTTATTTGAAGCTTTTTTTGAGTCGCTGTTGTGTTAATTTTGGTGGATTTTTTAGCGATTGTATTTGATAAAGGTGTTTGTTGGGTTTGCTTCTCTTCACCCTCACTTTTGGTGCATTTCATCTTAACGCTGTTAATTGCGACTTTGACCTTGTGAACATGTCACTTTTTTCTTCATTGGTCTTCAACTTTGTACTTGAAAGGCAACAAGCTAGTCTGGCTGCACATAATACGCATATAATGTGTGGTTATCATAAAATGTCAAAGACCTTTGGTATTACGTTTTCAAAATATGACAATTTTCTGGATATAATTTTTCTAATATGAAGAATAATGGGAGTTTACTCTGATCTGTATGGACTCTTGGAATTAAGTAGCCGTGAGCCATGCAACCTTGTGTTCACACACATTGTTTTAATCACACCTGTTCCACTGGCGGAAGCTATTTGCTTATGTCTTTTCCCTCTTTGTTTTGACCACAACTCTTAATTGGTGCAACTCTCAGTTCATTGGTGTTTCTCTTGCTGATGCAAGTGTGGGAGATTCCACATGTAGTATCCAATACAATTTTCTGATTTCAAACTAAATTATCTATCTTCTTCTTAGCTTCTTTTTTTCTAACAGTTTTTATCCTTAAATAATGGGCAGAGACTACCTAAATTACAAGACTAATAGGCCTATTGAACATTGATATTTTACTTTCTATTTGACAGGCTGAAAAGGCTTCATGGAACTCTATTGGAATATTTAAAATTTCTAACATATCTGGTAAAAGAGGAGATCTGGTTCCTTCAAAGTCTGTTGCTGATGGATCTGATATGGACAGCAATAATAGTGATAGTGATGAAGATGAAGTTGAAGATGGTGGATCTGCTACACCCATTTTGCAGGCAATACTTTCTTTACATGAATTCTCATATTTAATTGACAACTTGAAATTTTACTTGCACTTTTCAATATAAAATTTATTTTATTTTTTTATTTACAGCTACGCAAGGTGGGCCATGAAGGATGTGTTAATCGAATGAGAGCCATGCCTCAAAGTCCCCATATATGTGCATCTTGGGGCGATACTGGTCTTGTTCAGGTTAGACCCTTACAGATTAGAATCTTTGTCATATACATTAATGTGAATTCATATCATCTCATTTAGTTCTTCAAATATCATATAGGTTTTCCTTTGGATGAATTCTGATATATCTTCTTCAAATCATTTTTGTTATTTATCATGTGAAATAAACTAGACAATTTAAGCATTATTCTTTTGATAATTTTTCTGAGCTTCTTGATTGTGGAAATCAGGCAGCTACTGGAAAATTAGTTGCATCTGTGAGTATATTTAGGTTTGCAGTATGTGGTGCCTTGGAAGGGCAATTAACGCAGCCCAATAACGGGTTCTCCAACAAGCTGTACAAGACCTCTAGCAATTCTAGGTGGTTGTAGTCACCTGTAGATTTTTTCACAAATGAATGTTAGAAGTTCCAGTGTTTCTTCAAGGAGGAATCATCTTCAATTTTGAAGATCACTGTTAAATTTGTGAGGCATGCAATAGGTCTGTGAAATCCACTGATATCCATCAGCACAACTTCTTCTAAGAACAAATCAGTTGTTTGGGCAACTTTGAATGAATTCCAATGTGATTACCAGTTACCAAATTGAAATTAAAAACACATGCATGTTGGTATGTCTAACATGGTGCAAATTAAGTAAATATATGAATCTGGAGACCACATTGGGATCAAGTTATTATGTTATAGCCTAGATATTCTATGGATTAAACCAAAAAATTTCCTTCTCTCATAAACTAAAAATTTTCTGTGGTCCTCCTTATAAGCTAGTGGTTAGCCCACCTCTCCCTTGGAAAGGGTTCTGGGTGAAAGTTGAACCTCATCGCCTTCCCACCCACCTCCGCAAAACCCTTAAAATGAAATGAAGCTGGATTGAGGCAGTTAAAAAAAAAAAAAAAAAGAAAAAAAAAAAAAAAAAAAAGAAAAAAAGGAAGAGATATTTGTGTTTTATAGAGTATATAGCTTGAGTCACAAGAACTGGAGAAAATTGAGTGTGTTTAGTAGGTAGGTAATATGCAGTTGACACAACTAATCTGGATCGATGGCAGTTTAAATTTTAGGTTCAGTAGAAAGGGAGGTGGATGGAAGGAGAGAGGATAGTGAAGCTGTTTATAACATTTGATAATGAGGGGATATCTGATTCTTGATTGAATAGCAGTATCTTCTATATGCAGGTATGGGACTTCAGCTCTCATCTAAATGCTTTGGCAGAATCAGAAACTGAAGGTAACAGGGGAGCTCCCACGGTCTCCAATCAGGCTCCGTTAGTGAAGTTTGGCGGGCACAAAGATGAAGGCTATTCCATAGACTGGAGTCCTCTTGTCTCTGGGAGGCTTGTTTCTGGTACTGCTTAGTAATGGCTTTTTCCTTGTTCATCTCAGTGGGACATCAAATCATCTTTTGTTATCTGGAGATGAATGTACTGATATTTGTTGTCAACTTTCATCATTGAAGGGGATTGCAAGAATTGTATTTGTTTTGTGGGAACCTACATCTGGTACAACATGGAATATTGATAATAACCCCTTTGTTGGACATACTGCAAGTGTTGAAGACTTACAAGTATGCTTTTTGCTTTTCATATAAAAATCATTTTGCTTTTGATATCCATTGAATTGAAATATTATATGTTCTAACAAAAGTATTGTAGTTAAATTTTTTACTGTTACAATTCATGCCCTTTCCAACTTTTGTCTATGCAGTGGAGCCTACAGAACCTTCTGTCTTTGCCTCTTGCTCTGTGGATGGAAATATAGCCATATGGGATATTCGTTTAGGGAAATCACCGGCAGCCTCTATAAAGGCACATAATGCTGATGTAAATGTTATCTCATGGAACAGGTATTTTAAATTTTCTCCTCTTCTGGTAAAGACATGTCTCTGATATAGGCATTTGGTGGGCCTTTGTCCATTGTTTTCAACTAGGCTGGCTAGCTGCATGCTGGCATCTGGAAGTGACGATGGAACTTTCTCTATTCGTGATCTTAGATTATTGAAGGTATGATATTTTTTATACTGGTCTTGCTACAGTAGGACTGTAGAAGTACCTGTAGTATGAATAGGCACAGTTTTTTTGGTGTTCTGAACCTATGAAAAAAGGATCTGTGTTTAACTTTGTAATCTAGATGGTGCCTTTCAAATGTCTTTCATTATTTTTACATCTATTATAAGTCTACAATAACAGAAAACCATTGTCAGAAGCCATAAGTTGTCTTTGTTGGGTTGTTTTCATAATCCTGGGAAGGTCTGTTTATGCTTTGCATTCTTATACCTTCTTTTACCTCTACTATGACGTCTCTCTCTCTGTTTTTGTGTGTGCTTGTATGCCTCTGTGTGTATTTCATCTTGATAGGAAAATAAGGTTCTCTTGTCACTATGTGCCTGCCTTCTAAAATTTGTCTGAAATCTAATTATTGTAATCTGGCTCATAGGAGATGGAAAGCCATTATTGTGTTCGGTAAAAATTATTGCTTTTATATTTTGGTGGCAGGATGGAGATTCTATTGTGGCTCACTTTGAATACCATAAGCAGCCCATTACATCAATTGAATGGAGTCCACATGAAGCCTCCACCTTGGCAGTTTCTTCAGCTGACAATCAACTAACGTAAGAAATTCCCAGAACTGCAAAAAGATAATCTAGCTGGAATGGTGATATATAGATGCAAACACACACATGCACACAAATCAGTTGACAGTTTATTCTGAGTATTTCCATAATTATCTTTATACTAATTGTATTTGAAAAGTGGCTTTGTGTCTAATTAAAATCTGATTAGAAAAGTTGAGAGGGGTTGTGATATGTTGACACACATTGGTTTGTGAGCATGAGATTATGTAGTATATAAGACTTTCGAGAGTTATTACTAAATAACTTGAGTTTAAGTATTTCGAATTGGTGGTTTAAACTCAATAAATTATTAAGAAAAGTTGTTAGGGCTCACAAATTTGGAATACCAGAGGTGTTGCTTTTATTTATTAGTAGTATAGACCAAGGAAGTTTTAGTAAGCATTCTGATCACTTCAGTGTTTCTGAGCATGTGTGCTAAAATTTTGTTTTGACATTGTAGAATATGGGACCTTTCTCTAGAAAGAGATGAGGAAGAGGAAGCTGAATTTAAAGCTCAAACCAGGGAACAAGTAAATGCCCCTGCAGATCTTCCACCACAACTTCTCTTTGTTCATCAGGTTACATACTTCTGATCTCTTCCTTGCCTGAACATTGAAGTTACAGGATTTTTCCAAGATCTTGTGTTAGCTAACACTCGTCAAATCTTAACAGGGTCAGAAGGACTTGAAAGAATTGCACTGGCATTCACAATCCCGGGAATGCTCATATCCACTGCTGCTGATGGTTTCAATATCCTAATGCCTTCAAATATTGAAAGTGCTCTTCCAGCAGCTAATGCATAAGAGAATTGCTGGCACCAAGGTTCTTTGCAGACAAGATTCATGATCTGCAGCAATGTGTCAGATTGATGAATTCATTTTTACCTAAATAATGGTAAATGGATTGCATTAGCGATGCCAGTTGTAAAACGGAGGTGATGGCACAGGTGAGATTGATTGAAGCAAAATTCTAGATGCTTCGCTCTTGGTGTTCCCTCCTGCTTCATAAAATTTACACCGGCTTCAAGCAATAGCAATTTTGTTTTGTTTTTGTTTGTTTTTCTTTTTCATTATTGGTTTCTTTCCTTTCATACTCGTTTTTGGGGTCTCATGTTAATAGGTATGATACGGGGAGCTGGTAGTGAAATCCTGCAACTGTTATCTATTTGTAGTAGCTCTTAGTTGCGAGAATTTGTAATGTGAACTTGTCAACTTGCAGACTCTTTTCCCCTAGGGAACCTAATGGACTGCTTAAACTTTGCTTGGTTGATATAATGTATGACGATTTTCATACTCCAATGCCTCCCAAGGACCTCAGGTGTCTGCTACGTTAGGATTCTCCGTTTTGGTTCATTTAGGATTTCACTTTTAATTGAAATTTTAATATATTTTCTACTGTGAAATTAAAGAATTTTTCACAATCAAATGAACGAATTATGGATGTATGAAACAATGGTTTTAAATCTTCTGAAGTTCCATTCATGCAGAAAATTGATTTTTATTAAAGAAGGAAAAATTATTAAAAATAGAAGGAGTACGAGGCTTGCTTGCATATGGTCTGGACTCCATGGTACTAAAATAGAGTTTCCACTTGGTTTTTTGAAATAGATTTGGGTTGGAAGTTGGAGCCGACTGCAGTGGTCAAACCGAATATTTTCTTCAATCACACTAAATTGATGGTAGACAAACTCGATTACGGAAAAAGAGACGGAAGTTTAAAAGTACGATCGGGTACACCAGGTCAAACAACACTAATCCTTCTGGTTCAATGTCCTTGGACAAGGCAAAAATAGCTTTTCTATTTATGTGTTGCCTATTCTCTATTTTCGTCGTGTTTCTAAAAACAGAGAACTACAAATCTTGAAAACTTTTAGCAAAAATAATTTGAGAAAATATGATAACAACTTCTTGTTGCTATTTTATGAAAATTCTCCTAAAAACTAGCCATGAGGATTTTCTGTTTTCAAAGACAAGATACTTTTAAACAAATCTTGAACAGATGAACCGTGGAGCTGGACAAAACATATACCATTTTGGTTAAATATCGATAGTAGCTAATGGCCAAAGGTTCTTCATTCAACTAATATCCAAGCTTAATTGGAAAAACCCAGATCCAACAAACAACGGAAAATAAATCCAACTCAATCATAACCATATTTCTCTGGTCTTATAACCTTCTTCTCAAATCTCACCATGAAATTCATGTTGCAATGTTTTTTGGCCTATTTCTTATCAATCACTCAGTCCCACCCCCTAAAATTTTTCTTAGCTAAAATCCTCTGTTATCTGTTGCATCATCAAATACTCTGTTACAGTAGGATCTAGTCATAGGTTGATGGTGCTAAGGATTAGGAAGATCAAGAATAGGGCATGGTCGAGGATTGGCCTTGTACGAGGACGATTTCTTCTTCCAATTTATATTTCTTAAA